GTCCTGATGCAATCTCATCGTCTCCGATAGACCTAATCCTATTTCTCCAGTCACTCAATCAATTCATTTCATCCTGGAGCTTCCTTTCTTGTGCAGTTCCTCCACCCTTCCAAGCACAGCCACGTACCCAAAGTATATGAGACAGAGCTTCAAAATCCTTGCCTCCAGGGAGCAGCCTGGTTTCACCCTCTCCAGGACAGAACTGTTTGTTCTCCTGACAGTTCATGGTATGTTCAACACTCTTCTGCAGCACCACAACTCAAAAGCATCAATCCTCCTTCTATCATATTTGGTTATTATTCACCTCTTAAATAAAATAAATAGTAAGAAAGAAACACCAACAGTTGTCATCTTCTCTGGAGGGCAAGCACAGGAATTGATGAGAGATAAAAGCACGTAGGTTAAACAGGTGCTCAATGTATGATTACGCTTTCTACTTCACATATACCACATAGTTTTTTAATAATTATCAGGTATTACCTTTAAAGGTTAATTATGACGAATAATAAGAAGAATGGGAATCTCGGAACATTTAATTGTGCTCATGAAAAACCTATGCCTAGACTAAGAGGCTGTTTCAGCGCAAGGGAACACTAGGTGCTTTAAAATCATGAAAGGAGTGTTTCAGGGTTGTATTAATTATCATAACTATCCAATCTACTAAGTAATTTGAGAAGCTGGATGATATGAAAAATGTGACATAAGGATTGCAACAACCTGACATTATGCAGATGACACAACCATGTTGGCAGAAAGTAAGGAGAACTTGAAGCATTGCTGCAGAAGATCAACAGCCTTCAATACAGAATCTCAGCATCAAGATAACAGAAGTCTTCACTGGAACAATAGGCAACATCATAATAGATGGGTAAAAGACTGAAGTTGTCAATGGTTTAATTTTACTTGGATCCACAATCAACAGTAAAGGTAACAGCAGTCGAGAAATCAAAAGATGTATTGCACTGGGAAAAATCTACTGTGAAGGAATTCTCAAAAGTAAAACCGTCAATGATGTCAAGTAAAAACTAAGGTGTGCCTGACCCAAGCCATGGTTCCTGTGCATCTGAAAGCTGGACAATGAATAAGGATGACAGAAGACAAATCAATGACTCTGAATTGTGGTGTTGGAGTGCTGGAGAAGAGTATAAAATATCTCATGGATGAACAGAAGAACAAATGAGTCTGTTTCCTAGGGTAGGCAACCAGGATGTTCCACAGAGGCAAGGATGGTAAAATTGCGTCACATATACTTTGGGCAAGTTGTCAGGGACAGTCCTTGAGTAAAGACATCATGCTGGGAAAGGTAGATGATCAAGTACAAAATCCTCAACAACATGAATTCACTAATAGCTATAAACCAACAAGATGAATTCACACAGTCACCATAGCAATGGACTTGAGCATAGCAACGATAGTGTAGATCGCATAGGACAGAGCAAGGTTCAGATGTGGGGTTGTGTTTTTGTTTTGTTTTGTTGTTTTTTTACCTCATTTCTAAATCTTAACAAGAGTACACACAAAAAGGTTCTATATAACAAAAAAATTCACTATGATGTCCTCGATCAACAGTGGACCTCTATCAATAGTGTACAATAGTGGACTATTGGAAAGTTTACTCAAGAACAGCAGTGTCTTTTTGTCTGCATCTTCTGGCATATAAAACTTGCTAAATTAATCTATGTGTAGGTACTGAATGAAACATAGTATGATGTCAGCATAGTTTCTAGCACTACAACCAATATATACCTAATTAGGGAAAGTTTTTAGTGACTGATATACTAAAACAGCATTACAATGCCCTCTGCTGGTTTCTACTTTGTACTGGAAGTAAAATAACCTACTTTGCTATTTATATTGCTTTATTCACCTGAAATGTAAATAAGATCATACTGCACTAAAAAGAATATAGCTTCTATACTAGTTGCACATTCTAAGTTTATAACTACCATTCCTTACTTTTCAAATTCAATTTACCAACAAAAAATGTAACAAATTTGTGTCAAACTATACTGTTACCGTAATCACAGAGGAAAATACAAGGTGAAGAGATTTGTCTAAAGCCTTATTTAACCTATGAATAATTAATCTCTCTCTCCTTATGGAACATTTAATTCATTCTTATATGTTCAAAGAATATAAATAATTCAGTATATATCATTAGTATTTCATTCTTCAGTAGAGATACTAGCAAAGTACTATAAAATTATTTTGGCTGATAAGGGATATGCTTGTTGTTAGGTGTTGTTGGGTTGAGTACAACTCATAGTGACCCTATGAACAAAAGATATGAACCTAGTCCTGTCCAGCATCATCCTCTCACTGCTTGACACATAAGAGCCCACTGCAGCAATGTGTCAATCCACCCAGCTGAAGGTCTTCTTCTCCCTCACCGACCTTCCACTTTGTCCAACATAATGTTCTTTTCCAAAGAACAGCCCATTCCCAAAGTATGTGGTCTCCAGTAAATAGCTACACACCTGGCTATTAATACCTAGTATTAAAATGGACTATAATAGAAAGTCCTCTGTGATGTATACTGTATAATTTTATTTACATACTTAAAAGATGTAGTTAAAATAAATTCTTCTATTCCAAGAGATACTTTTCTATTCATAAAGCACAGATGCTAAAACAGGATCATTTTTTTCCATATTAAAAAATGAAATTTCTAAAGTTCCACACTGTCATTCAGTTCACCTGAGCCAACAATTAAATATAAATTACTATAGAACCAACTGAAAATTTCTTCCACTTATAACAAATAAGACTGAACAAAACATAAAAATATTTGTGATCAGTATATTTTTATCTATTTTAAACATTTCTAATATTTTACCAATACTTGTTATATAACAAATAATAAAATGATGGTATCTAGAGTAATAACAATTTTTATTCTATCCCTAAGTCTTTCCTGAAGTAGAATTCCTTGGTGTCTGAACAGTTAGTCATAGTTCATATCCAGCATCAGTCAAATGATCGTCTTGGTATATATAAGACATTTCTTGTTGTTAGGTGCCATCAGCTCTGACTCAAAGCGATTTTATGTATAACAGACCCAAATACTTTGTGCAATCTCGCTCCATCTTCAGAGTTTTCATTGTGCTTAAGTACAAAGGACAGTCACTGTGGCAATTTGTCTTCTTGTTCTTCCTTCCTTTTGCGAGCCCTCTATTTTTCAAGCATGATGCCCTTTTCCAAGGACTAATACTCATACCTATGGCCTGTTTTACCATCCAACATTTCACATTTACAAAAACATACTACCTGATTGTTTTAGACATTAGTAAAACAAATAATGAAGTGTAACAAATACTGAGATGCACAGTGGTAGGAACAGTTGTGAAGGTTATGCAGTTTGATCTACCAGCTACTGTGCAAGAGAAGGAAGGGTAATCACCTCTCTTGCGATTACCTGCCTCTGGAAACCTACTGGAGGGTCAGCTATGGATTGGTTCTGACTTGACTGCACACAACAAGAGGGCCCATGGGAATGTGTTTGTGTAATGATGGGTGTAAGTCAGATGCTCATAAATCACAAACTATCCATATTTAAAATACTGTGAATTATTGTATTGTAGAATAAAGGGACTTTCAGTATATAACTTTAAACCGTATCTTTTTAAAAATTTCACCTTTCCCAGTTCCTTCCTTGGGCCAACAGAAAAATGAGCCTCAGAGACATTAACATATATGATCAGATACTTACTTAGGAATAAGTACTTAAACTCCTTAAACAATATCATTTCTTGTATTGCTTGATGAGTAAAATTAAAACATTCAACTGATTTTTTAAGCCTTTAAAATTTTAATTATTTGGTTATACTGAAATTCAACAACTTGATTTTCACTCTGATGTAGGAGGTAATAACTATTTTTACTTTCTTAGATAATTAAGTTCTTAGTTATAAGCTCTTCATCTGTCAGATAAACTCTAAAGTTTCTTTCACATCAGTAATTCTATCATTTTTAATAAAAAGGCAGCCATGTCATAATGTTTGGAAATTATCTGTTCTTGCCCAGGTAGGACAAATGGGCCAGTGATCTGAGTTCATAGGTGGGCACATTGAAGGAAAGATATGGTGGGGTACTTCTGAGAAATCAACAATTAAAAAACATACAGAGCAGAGTTATGCTCTGACACATATGTGGTCATCATATTCAGTAGGAATCTGTTTTCAACAGCAACAGATCTGATTTTTAGTTCATTGTTCTAATTTCTCATCAAGACTACAGAGAACTTTAGGGGTAGGATCATATTTTACTCACCATCTATCTCCCAATGCTACTAGCACAATTATCTGGTGTCCTCTCTCCAAAAAAAGTTTTCCATGAAACTGGTTGAGCTAAATTGGATATAATGTTATCTCCTCTAAGATAAAGAACACTTCAGTCATAACTAAAGTATATTTTTATGTCTTAGGGAGCTCTGGTGGCTTGGCGGTAAGGAACTGCACTGCCAACACAAAGGTATAAAGTGCGAATCCACAAGCTGCTATGTGGGAGAAAGACGAGTAATCTCCAGCCACGCAATTTATTGTCTCTAAAACTCAGAGGCGGGTCAGCTATGGATCAGTTCTGATTTGGCAGTTTACAACAACAGATTATCTATGATAGGAAAATTCTGACAAAATAAAATTACATTTCTCATTTCCATATGGCAGGAGAGTCCCTTTACTATCGATAACCTGAAAGTAATTTGATCTGTATTTGCAATGACTATACAAAGAAATATAAAGAACAGGACTCAATTCACTAATTGGAAAACTAGCTTAATAAATAACCCATCTTTGGATAAATAAGATGTAAATATGTAAAGGGGGGAAATGAATGACTCATTTTGCTCCCCCTATTTTAATTTTTTTAAATTTTGGATTATAAGTACTTGGAAAGAATATGAGAAGACATGTTCAATTAGAACAGAAATACCATTTCTTTCCATAAATACATATCAAATGTTATCATGGTCCCAACATGTCATTCCAACTTTAGCTACTTACTTGATGGCCCAAGGACATCTTTGCTATCACCCAGAAGCTTTAATGCAGGATAATTGAGCAGCAAACAAATACAGTCCAAACCAGGAAGAAGCAAAATGCATCAGGACGGAAGCAGTAATGAAATAAAAGGACAAGGAAAATAGCATTAGTTTATAAGTAGAAAGCACATGCACATCAATCCTAATAACCATAATTTATAAGACATTTCCTTTCCTTTGCCAAACATTCACATGTACACAAAAAAATAAACACATCCAAGCTTAAGAATTACCAAATGTTTCTCTTAGTTTTAGAAAGTAAAAGTGGAAAGAAAAGAATTATCCAAGTATTTTATTCCAAAAGTCACTGAAGTGAAAAATGACCTTTAAGATATAAAGAACAGCCAAAAGATACTCATTCCTTAAATTATGTGGTTTATAAATTATCTAACACCTCATGCATGATTAAATGTTAGTTTTGCATGCTATGAAAGTACTTAATATTACAGTGAGTTAGTCTATTTCTTCTGTGAAAACAAAGAAATTAACATTTGTTGACTGTTCATTAAATACCTTGAAGCACTGTGCAAAAAAAAGTTCTATAAAGACATCAAAGTAAGACAAACTTCTTCTCAAACAGAAAAAAAAATGATGAGGACAACTGATTAGAAAGCTAGATTTTATTAAGTAGAACAAAATTTTCTTAAGACCCACAATATCTGGAATTACTGGTCTTTAGGAACTAAGAGGTAGAATATTTCTTGAGCTTGTTTCAATAGGCAAGAAAGCTATCAAAACACTGACATTTCTTTAATATTATTTTAAATATATCTCACTTAACAAGTTTAAATGCTTTAAATGTTGCAGGCTGCCTCTTTACCTTCAATCTGTATCTGAACAGCCCTTTCTTCTATCAACATAATAATAGGACCTTCTGATCTGATAATTAAAATTACTTTTTCAAGGAATTAAACTATCTGAATTACTGTGACGTTTGCTCTAAATGACGGACCTCCTTATTTTCCCTCCTCCTTTCCCCCATTACCTGATGTGCTAAATTATTTTTCCTTGAGACAGCTGAGATCAGATGAGACAGCAGACCTTAGGGGAGATAGCAATCCACTAATGCAGGCATCACACAACCCAAGAACACTCTGAATGAATACCCTAGGTACTTCCAGGAGCTCTTTCCTTTTAATTCTGCCAAGAGTTTCAGGTGCCATGTGAGTGACTCCTATATGACCTTCCAGAGAACAGCTATCTTAAAAGGCCATGTTCCATAATAACTATGGAGATGGCCATCTTTACACACACACAAAATCATTAATTTGCTGGGCCATCTTAATCATCTGTGCATACTCCCCACAAGACCCAAAATGTATTTCTGGTGTTACTCACATTTAAAGAACAAATGCATATGTATGTGCTTAATCATTCTGAGCAAGTGACAAAGAAATCCTTATTTGTCCTCATTCCCAAGAAAGATAACCCAACAGCATGCAGAAATTATCAAACATTATCAATAATACTACACGCAAGCAAAATATTGCTGAAGATCATTAAAAAACATCTAGAACAGTTCAGGGTGGGTTTAGAAGAGGCCTTCGTTTCAAGAGTATCACTGCTGATGATGGAAACAGAGAATACCAGAAGAATGTCTATTTGTATTTTATTAACTATGCAAAGGTATTTGATTGTGTTGATCATAACAAACATTGAGAATAGGAATACCAGAACACTTAATCAGACCTGCATGAAATCTAGAGCAAGCAGCTGCTATCCTAACAGAACAAAGAAATACCGCATGGTTTAAAATAGGGGAAAATGTACATCACAGCCATATCTTTCACCATAGCTATTCTCATTAGAAAAGCTGGACTTTATGAAGAAGAGTGAGGCTTCAGAATTGGAGGAAAACTCAGGTGACAAAATTTAACCCATTGAGAATCTTCCTCTTTTTCACTGGTCCTCTACAAAATTTGTTTTCTTTCTTCAGGGACTGGCCCTTCCTGATAGCACGTCCAATGTATGTGAAAAGAAGTCCTACAACCTCCCTTCTAAGAAGAATTCTCACGGTACTTATTTTAAAACAATTATGTTCTTGTACCATAATTTCAATATATTAAACTTTTCTTTGGTCTTCTATATTAACTGTGCAACTTTTATATGTATATGAAGTTATTCTAAGACTATAACTTGGGCTAGGTGCCCAAGTCTTCAAAGTGCATCTTTGCTTTTTTTAATACTTTAAAGATATTCAGGGATCTTTTGCAGCTGATTTGCACAATACAACTGTTGTCAAGTGCTTTCAGATCAGCAATGACTCTCGTCCAACACAGCAAAACCCTGCCCAACCCTGCATCATCCTCACTATCTCTGCTGTGTGTAAAGCCACTGTTGCCACCACTGTGTCAATCCATCTCATTAAGGATCTTCCTCTTCTTTGATGACCCTCTCCAGGGACAAGACCTCCCGATAACATGCCCACAATATTTAAGTCACACCTTTCTTGCTTCTAAGGAGTACTCTGTCACAACAAAATGTTCTTTCAATTCTTGACTGTTGTACTCGTGAACACTGATCACGGATCCACATAAAAGAAAGTTATTTTACTTACTTTATTACTGTAAGTTAATAAATCCAGGGTGTTTTAGATACCAACTTTGGGTATTTTTTTTAACAGCAATAAATAATTACTGAATTTCTAGAAAAGTAAAAGAACTTATGAAACTAACCTTCCACTCTTAAGAATAACTATTTCCCTAGATTTATCAATAACTTCCTTATAGAAAGCAATGATTCTACCTTTCTATATGTATATCTGGCAATATTTATTTCAAATATAAAAGATGAAGTATGACTAGCTAACCTATTTTCAACTAACAGTTAAACTTGGTTTTGTTGTGCAGTTATAGTCTCAAGTTGAGCTGATTAAGAGCACTGTTAACTGTTGTACATTTCTTGTCTATTTACTTGGAAAATTTCTTAGCCTATAGGAGCTCCTGAATAGCTATTTCAAAAACTTCGATTATATTTAACTCTCAACATTACATCTTAAAACATGATTTTTTCACATAAATCCAACTCTACTGGACAGATCTTTATTCCCTCAGATTGCAGTTTTGTTCACAATAGCAAGGAGTTGGAAACAACCTAAGTGCCCATCAACAAACGAATGGCTAGAGAAACTGTGGTATATTCGCACAATGGAATACTATGCTGTGACACAGCGCGAGGGCGACGCAGCACGAGGGCGACGCCGCCAGACCAGGGAACGCTGGGGGAACGCACGCGGCC